AATGTGTGTGTATATAGGCTATAGGCCACATGTCCACCAAACATTTCCAACCTGGTTGTATCTGCATGATGAAAGAAAACGCAGTACATGCGACGTTACTGTGATAAACTAACGTAGGTAGTCATTCATCTATCTTGGACAAATAGCAAGCTCAAATAATTCACCCAAGTGATTTTATAATTAGCCTATTATGACATTATACAACATATCGAGTTTAGCTGTGCAGGTCTTACTCTCATAATACATATTTCTAAACACTGGCAGGGACAAGAGGTAAATACTGTAGAAAAGCCAATGGATGCGGGGGCTCTTCATTTTCACGTTTCGAGATGAGAGAGAGAGAGGGAGAGAGAGAAAGAGGGAGAGAGAGAGAGAGAGAAACTCCAGTCACACAGCCGAGGACCACGCGCTGCAGAAGACGGACGAAGGCACGCTCCTGGAGTCAGGTAAGTTTTAATGCAATAGACACAGAAAAGGAAGCTTAGTACTGTATATGTATAGTGTAGGCCTAAATAGGACACTGCATGAGACAGATATAGGTTAATATAGGTTATTAAGATGAGACCGTTGTTGTTATGCTTCCGTTTATCAGCTTAGTTCGTGTATTTTTATTATTTACCGATAACTTAGGCTGCACGACAGATAACCTAGTAAGTACGGTACGTTTAATGCAAAAACAGTCTAGGATCTCATGCTATTTATATTCATATAGGAGTCGACTGTGGAATGATGTTTGTTTGGGGGCTTTTTTTGGAAACGCGCCGAGTCAAATCATGAAGAATGTGTGTGTGAGGGGCTAACGAGCCCAGGCAACAGTCCCACAGACGTCTTTGTAATGTGTTTGGAAAGCACGCTGTCCGTGGTGCTGAAACCCATTTTCTCAATGGACAGAAAACACAGGACAGTCGATCTCCCCCGACACCAAGAGTACTGGTGGTTTTGTAATACAACACGGATGTTTGAGGAACCCGGTTCAAGTACTTGGCTGCTCCCTAAAGAGCTAACCACCTGCTTGGTTGGGCAATTCCCACTGGACAGCAGTCCTATTCAGCCACTACTGTCTATTAATCAGTTGCGTGCCTTACTCCGAGGCACCTCGATGGTAGCTGATAAGGGAGGCATGAGGACTGTTACGAGCTGTAGGAATGTAAACCAGGGCGTTGATGGAAAGGAGCATGCGTGATTTGTCAACTATTCCTACATAAACCTTTGTCCTCGTTTTCCTGGCTCACATGTCACAGCAGTTTGTCTCTTTTTTTCTGCAGGTGTGCGCGGATATGCTCCAGGTACCAGGGACACTCATGGTCGCTGGGTTAAATGTGGATGTACAGACTGACAGCAGATAGTATGCCTGCACAGGTGGCACAGCTCACGTGATGTGGCACAATATGGCACGCGTAAAGATGGGTGTCATCGCTCTCTTGTGTCTTCCCACGTTTTTCTCCCGCGTCCTCGTACTGTCCCAAATCAGCGGCCTCTATGAGAGGTCAGTGGTACCTCGCGCCGCGCCCCGCCTTGTGGCTCGTATGAACGGAGACGTAATCATCGGGGCGCTCTTCTCCGTCCACCACCAGCCATCTGCAGAGAAAGTGGCTGAACGGAAGTGCGGGGACGTCCGTGAGCAGTATGGGATCCAAAGGGTAGAGGCCATGTTCCATACGCTGGACCGGATTAACTCCGACCCAAACCTGCTCCCTAACATCAGCCTGGGTTGTGAGATCCGGGACTCATGCTGGCACTCTTCTGTGGCCCTGGAGCAGAGCATCGAGTTCATCCGGGACTCCCTCATTTCCATAAGGGATGATAAGGATGGGTCCAAGTGGTGTATGGATGGCACCTCATCCAACCAGCCTCCACCCTCTAAGAAACCCATCGCTGGAGTGATCGGACCAGGCTCCAGTTCTGTGGCCATTCAGGTTCAGAACTTGCTGCAGTTATTCAATATCCCACAAATTGCGTACTCTGCGACTAGCATCGACCTGAGTGACAAGAGCCTGTTCAAGTACTTTCTGAGGGTCGTGCCCTCTGACGTCCTCCAGGCCCGGGCCATGCTGGATATTGTCAAGCGGTACAACTGGACCTATGTGTCTGCAGTACACACAGAGGGTGAGACCCCATCACTGACCTCTATAACTGGAAAACCACCATAATAAGTGCCAACAACCATGAGTTTCGAGTGACTTCATCGTTTGTTGTGGTATTTTTGATTTCCCATGACATCACTGGTGTTCTCATTGTTTAGAGGGCTTAGTCAAAGAGTGATACATACATTTGCAGTGGGATTTTATGATATAATTAAAAAAAATTTTTTTAGGCTTGTTATACAATATTTTCAGCAAAACTTTATTTATTCACGTCTTTGACAGGGTGACTTAAAGTTGATTTACTATGAAGGTTTGTGAGCCCTACGTCCCACGTTCACGTTTTCCTTCCATGTTGGTCTTTTAAGTGGAACTGGATGTCAGAGATATGTAGACACTCCTTCGCTTCTCCACAGACAATATCTGCCCGTGTCACTATCACCCTTTGCTTTCAGCAAAGCATATTCCCACACATCCTATGCATCAATGCACAGCTGCATATGCATGTCTTAAATATCATGCACTAGGGTATGGACTGCAAGTAGAGTGTATGCTCAGTAAACACTGACTGGCCTCTTCTTGTGTGTACTGCTACTCTTTACTCCTACTTGACACTTTTGTATAATATAGTATGTGGAGCCAAAACTGGAGGTTTTTGGCTGTGTTACTAGACTTGTCAGAGTTACTGGTTTTAAAAGTCTGTATCTAGTCAGGCACACGAGGGACCGTTTTAGCATTAACAATTTATGTTAAATTAATTCCATGGTTGAGTCAGGAAGGTGAAACAGGGATGAAAAATTACATTACTATTTAAAATATCTTCAGATACGTATACACTGAAATGAATGTCTTATTTCCTCGGAAACCTTGGGAGAAATAGTATTCAGTATTTCATACTTTGATGGGCTTATTTTCTTTCTAAGAACTCTTCTGCTCATTTGTGCATCATGGTGGAGACAGAAGGTAAAATGAAGAGATGGTTTGGGTAGACAGAGTAGTTATTGTGAAGTGAATTATGTCCATTGCTTTTCATTAAAGTCTTAGTGAAACACAGTCAGTGATGTGCACCCAAATTATGACTGACAGGCTGTGTTACCCAGGATACCCTTGAGGAGCTGTGGACTCATGGGGAGTGTAAGACATCTTTGGAAAGTCCTGTTATAGTCAGGTGCTGGAGAGGGGCTTTGTCACAGGCTGCTATCAGATAGATGAAGAAAGGGAGTTAGGGAGCTGTAGTACCTGGGGGCAGGACTAGGTAGTGTTATCTGTTTGACCTTCAACATACCCGCAGGAGGATCCTCTGGGACTGAGGTCATAATTTAAAGGTAATGAAAAACCAGTCAGGGGAAAGATGAATTCAACTGCAAGCAACACAGTAAGCTACAGTGTGAGTGGTAAAAGTAGGATATTTCCTTATAATTAAAGAACTAACTTGTGGCTCTAATTAGAACTTAACTTTTTTTTCTTCCTTTACATGCTGATATTCTGTAAATATAAATCTTTATACTGAATATACTGTAGGTTCAGTTCTGTAAGGGTCAACAGTCGAGATGTTTGGAGCCTGAGACGTCACATCACAGTTTTCCTGATGCAGGCCTTAGCCTAATCTTTGAAGAGTCCTGCCTAAATCCACTTGTTTGTTTTGTCTTTAGTTATCTTGATATTAACGGTCATGCTTATGAATTTTCTTTCTCCACTACCTTAGACAAGTTATAAATGCAGCCTGTTGCCCATAGCAACAGCTAGGGCTGTGAAATTGCATAAATTACCTGTCTTGATTATCATCAGTCTGGTAGGAATACTTAAAGCAGGGTTTCGATGGTCATTGTCAATGGGCTGTCAACTAATGCACCACCGCCCACCTGTCACACAGTCTAGATTGAAAGAGTAAAATTACTGGTTATCATCATTTCCATTTGGGAGAATGAAATGAGGCAATTGAAATATTATCAAAGGCCTATTGGAAAACCAACACATGGGCTCACTGTGTGCCAGAGTAAATGTATTACTGTATTGGCTTTTTCAGCTTCTGTGTTTCTTGCTCTATAAAGCTGTGCAATGCACACATAACATATCTGCTCTTCATCACTCATATAAAGGGAAAACAGTGTAGAGGCCCTCCTCAACCTGGCCCTTCATCAAGCCAATTGATTAGGGGTATTATCCGTACTTTTATGGCCAGGTGCTCTTATTTTCCTTCTGACAACAATCCAGACTGTGAGACATTAGTCAAGCATACAGTCCACATGGAAATAGAAGATGTTGGTTCAAACAGCTTTGCAGTGCTCTTCATTTGGATGTTGTGTATTTAAACAAGGATAAATATCTTCACCCCTTTTGCCTTTGATTGTGATCAGCAGCCAGTCAACGTACTAACAGAGGATCAGAGATCAGTCAATGCTTGCCATATTGTATAATCGCTGTGGGGTGTGCTTTAAGCATGGCATCGATTGTCCATTTTTGCAATACTTAGAAATGTGTGGTTCATTCATGTTATTTAGTAATTTCAGTGTGTTTTTGCATGTAACAATAGATTGTCCTTATCCACAAAGGCTAATTTAAGAAAAAAAGATGACCAGACAGTGAAAATACCTTTTGCCAGGAAAATATTTGAATTCCCAAAAGGACAAAATGCTTTTCAGTTGAATTCTTAACAGTCTATTTTCTTCATCACCTATAGGAAACTATGGGGAGAGTGGCATGGAGGCCTTCAAGGAGCTGGCCTCTCAGGAAGGTTTATGCATTGCCCACTCAGACAAGATCTACAGTAACGCAGAGGAGAAGCAGTTTGATCGCCTTTTGAGGAAACTACGGGAACGTCTGCCCAAAGCTCGTGTAGTAGTGTGTTTCTGTGAGGGCATGACTGTCCGCGCTCTCCTGATGGCCATGAGGCGACTGGGTGTGTTTGGGGAGTTCCTCCTCGTTGGCAGGTATGGATATGTAATTTTTATAAACCTTTTGATTCACTGTTGCAAGCAGCTCTATGGATGTCAAGAAATCTCTTAACAGGCTGGAAGCCTGTAAGATGCTGTGTTGTCTTCCTGATGTGCATGTCACCAAGGCAACCAAGAAGAATTAGACCACATACCAGTAGCACTGAATAGAAATGTTCTCCAGCAATGAATAATTGGTATTTCTGTCACAGACACAAAGCTAGGGAGAGAGCGACAGTGCCACCAGTCCATTTTTTCCTTGTTGCGCTCCCTTAATTGTTTTTTTAAGGCAACAGCAGTCATTCCTTATTGAGCAATGAAAAAGAAACATGCATTCTGAATCAACACGAGTTCCAAAAATCTTTCCTTTTTGTGATTACTCCTCCTCACTCCATCTTGTTCACTCAATTAATTTTCTCCTCATAATCTCTTCCTCTGTTAGTCAATATTAAGTGACAGTGACTGACTGTAACGGCAGTCTTAGTCATTAGAAAAGGGTGAGTAGAGTCGTCTCACACACTTAAACAGCGTCATGTTACACCATGAAATAGCCCTCAAGGAACATTCACAGTTGTCAGTAAAAGCCACAGCAACCTTGATGCTTCTTTTCAGTTCATTCAGGTAATATTATTCCACCATCTGTGGCACCTTTCTGTTGTAGGGCAGTTGTCATATATGCAGTTATATATTACATGAGGAGGACATTAATAAGACAGCTGAGGGTGGCCAAGGCTTGTACAGTGGCCTGTGTTTTCCGAACATGACATGAGTGAAGCTCATATTCTGAGCCATCATCGTCTAACAGGTACCAAGTAATAAGGTAACTTTGATCCTCACTGTGTGTTCACTTACACTGACTGGCCACGTTGTCTGTATATTTTTGTGGATCAGGATATTAGGAACGCCTCGGAATATAATGTAGTCCAGTGCAACACCACCTTTAACTATGACCTCGATAATAAACATATAATTGATTTTATACATTTACTGTCCTTTAAAACTGTAAGTTGTTGTTGAAAAGCTTCCTACTTGATGTGAATTAGGATACTTTGGTGCATTAGATAAACTCTGACAATGAGTTGTTTATGATACAAGATGCTGTCATGGCTGATATCGAGGGATTTGTTTATCTTTGAAGAAATATTTCTTATTTCCTGTAGTGGAAGATGTTTCCAGGCTCTTGTTTTGTTGTATGTGTTACTGTATATTTAATGCATCGTGCATATTCAGTGCAAGTCCTTTACAGGAGATGGTACTCTTTCTTCTCCAATGCAGAAGATGCCATTTAAGTCATCCATTATAATGACACTCTAGGGATACATTCCTTCCCATATCTCCCCTTTTCTCTTTCCTCCATAGGAAATGGAAAAGTGGGTCTTATTTTAGCTTTTGTGGAAGTCTCCATGGGTGGAAGAAATGCTTCTGGGTCACAGAGAGAGAGAACAAGCGTGAGAACTATGTAAAAAAATGACAGAGGGAGTCTGGGCCAACACAGATGCCAAGTCACGTGTGTGTTTCCTGGTATGAATTGAACAACTGAATCATGCTGGCAGACAGGCATTAGCTCATCATATAGAAGTTTGTTTTCTTAATGTGTGCTTTCACATCTAAAGAAGTCTAATTCATGAAGAGTGTGCAACAGAAAGACAAACAGAGAATGAAACAAAACAACAGAAGACAGACCAAACGTCTGACACATCCTGCCTCTTTTATTCTTGCACATCTATAATATTTTACTGTGATAAGTTTATTGTGATCAAAAACGCAGCACAGAAAATGGCACCATGAACAGACGCTAAACCGAATTTGCAACCAAAGTTTTCCTGGTATAATAAATATTTTTATATTAACAATCCATCAAATGACTACGTGTCTGTGAAAGGGTTCATTTGATGTCCGTGTACGCACAGAGAATTATCACCCAGTTCTGTAGTAGCTCCCCTTAGCTCTGCAAAGTGTTTTAACTCACTGGTTTTATTGACTGCAGTTGTACTGTTTTGGCTCCCTTTCTCTTTTTCGCTGAAAAAGCCCTGAAACCCACTGCACGCTACCTGTTCAGCACCAAACACCTGACAACACCGGCGACTAGCTGGTGAACATATTGGCATGTTGTTTTTGGGTGGCCAGAAACACGACTGAAGGCTAATGTTGCTCCTTGCCTGTTTAATGTGTTCACAGGCAGCTGTTTGCTAACAAGTTCACTGGCACCACAGTTTTGTGTTGGTGTATTAAACCAGATCAGGGGCTTAAGCTAAATGTTTAACGTGTGCTTTCACGTTTAAAAGATGTGATCATTAAAGTTTGCTTAAACTTTTCAAAGCATTTTTTATTAAAAAAAAAAATTAATTTCTCATCATAATCCCCCCATCAGGCTGATCGATGTAATAATTTAAATGCAAAAACATCACCCCTCATCCTTCATTAGTCAACCAGCTATGTTCACAAACTTTGTTTGAAATGTAGCATCACCTTAGGATAGTCAGGATAATTTGTAAGGATAACAAGGCAAGCGCAGCAGGGTCCATCACCATCAGTGAGATGGTGAGGCAGTTTTTGCAGTTATGCACCGTTCTTTATTATCTCCCCACTGTATTGCACTTGGCACAAGCAAAAACAACAAGTGTACCAGTGTACTAGACAAAAATGATTTTGAAAATCCAAGCGCACGCTGTGTTGTTTTCCCACCTCATCTCATATATGGACATGACCTTAGGGGCAGCCAAAAACATCACATAACAGTGGCTACATGAACTACAAGTAGATCTGCTCTTCAGATAAGGGCCAGGTGCGGCAGCATTCTCAACCCACTTTAGCCCTGACCTGCAGACTCTAGTCTGAATCACTTCAGCACTTTACTTCCACTCTGCCCTGCTATTGTCTGTCAGAAGAACTCTTGTTTTTCTCTCTCTCTGTCATGTCAATCATGATTTTGCCAATCAGCTGCCTCCATTACTATACAACTGCACACATAGTGGTATGCAGAAAGAGACAACATTCATTCCACATGACACAAAGACGCAGACATACATTGCCATCATACTGTAGCTTTACCACTTGATTCCCATCAAAAAGACACTGACATCCATCTTCTTGTTGTGTTCAAGTACACTTTAAAGTGATTCTCTGAGATGGAAAACGGGCAGAATGAAGCAAGGAACACAGGAAATTGAGTGTTAGTTTGTTTTTTAAGAACAAAAATCATTGTGTGACTGAGCTGGAAGCTAGCTGATGAGCATATTAGGAGAGCCAGTTACATGTGGACTAAATTGACTGGAGATTGATGGGAGTAGCTTTGGATTCTTTGAATGTGGTGTCCTGCTGGTCCGCCCCCAGATTAAGGCAAAGGTTGTGATGGATAGGTGGGTCAATAAATTTGTTGCTGCACTAATCAGTATTTTATATTAATGCTGGATAAAATAACTATTAGTAGCAACAAACCCGAAGAGAATTATCAACCAACTGTTCCTCTCAGCTCTATGAGGGATTTTAATGTCTTTCTGATCACTAGGTTTTACGACCCACAGCTTTAGTGTTTTGGTTCACTGTGAATGCTCTTGCCACTTTTATCTCCAGCTGCAGCAGCTGATGAAAAGATTAATTGAGCAGCTAGTTGATGAATATACAGCAATGGAAATTTTAGCAGCTGAAGAGCCAGATATTTCTGTCAGGCATTGTTTGAAGACCAAAACAGAGCTGGAAGGAGAGAGAGAGAACTGGAGCTGGGGATTTGTCTGGTGGCTAGAAACATAATGGTGCTCCATGTCTGCTGGGTGTATTAATAGTCAGCTGTCTGCTGACAAATTTACGACATAAAAATGTTTGTTTAGCAGTTGTTGTGAAAAGTATAGTCATATAAAGATGTGATATGACATTTTAGATGGCAATGACAAAAGACATTTTTTGCTTAGTTTCATTACTTTAATTGCCAACAGGCTCAAGAAGTCTTTTTTTTTTAACTTGCTGAAAATTTGCCGCTGTTGAGAGATTAATTTTGATACATCTTGTAATTGGAGCCTGGGGGAGTTGCATGGCTCTGTCAAGTGTCGTCCTTCCTTTTGAACTACTTTTAATATCATAACTCCAATCAAGCTTTATATATAGTGCATTTTTACTATGTTCAATAGATCTCCCCATGTACTGTACATTCAGCCGCTTCTATTGCATACAATTGGTAAATTAAACCATGCTTTATTGTAAGCTTCGCAAAGTAACATCAGTCTTAGTTTAAAAGATGTGTTTTCACAAAGACATTTTTAGAAAATCTACAAGGTTTTGCTTTACCCTTCATAAATTATCAAAGACCAGATTCAGCACTTGGAAGTTCGATGACAAATTAACACATCAAGAAAACATTTTTGTCTCAAAGCCCTGAAGTTGGTACTATATAACAGTACTATAGTTTGGAGGAATCAGTCAAATATCCATCAGAGAGCAAGCAATACCTACAGATGTGTATAATACACACTATAAGATAAAATGTGAATTAAAATAAAATGTAATTGTTTACATTCAGAGCAGTATTCTTCTTTGGAGACTGGCCACGTGAGTGGTAGAGGGAAGTTTAAAGGTATTTCCTATAAAGCACCATTGCAGTGACCAGGAATGTTTTTCATAACATTGAAACCATTACTGAATGTATTCATCAGTATGTGTGGCGAGGGGGTATGACAGTCTTTGAACATATCATGAGGGAATAGTGTGTGTTACAGGTACATGGAGTGTACTTGAGGCTGTGAAATAACCACAGATTTCTTGCCTGTTATTTGACCGCGGAGAGCAATGCACACAATGACTCCCAGGAGATGACTGCCTGTATTATTACAGATCCAGCACCACCATGTTCCTGTTGAGCTTTGACCAGTGCTTGCAGCCAGCAGTTTTTTTCTGAAGCAGCTGCTTGTTTCTAAAGATCTTTTACCTTAATAATTTAGTGCTTTGCAAAGCAATTAATAAGCAGATTGCAGTCCAAGTTTATGCTAAACAAAAAAGTGAATGTG